AACTTCCAACAGTTCGTTTAATGACTGTTCAAAGTTACAATGGCACCGAAAAAAGTGACTTACAGCCATTTTGCACACTTACAACCATTGTAGCATCCCCATGGACATATGATCAAAATTCAGATGCTTGGCAGTTCATACTTATGACCGTTGCAGAGACACAAGGTCATGGGATCCCTTTTTGCGACCTTCTGACAAGCCAAGTTAATGAGGAAGCCGGATTCACTAACAAGCAAGCGAGTTAATTTCTCAGCTGCAGTGATTCACTTAACAAACGTGGCAAGAAAGGTGGCAAAATGGGGCAAAACTCACTTAACAGAAATTTGGGGCTCAAGTGTGGTCGTTAAGTTGAGGACTACCTGTATTTAGGGGACCCTGAAGGCACAAATAAACCCTCCAAGTCTCCTCAAGAGCTCTCCGAGAGAGGGCTAACGACCAGAGGACTGCAAAGAATATAAATCCTTCCATCCTCCACCATTCAATCAGAACTGGAGGAAGCTTCTTGGGTGAGAAGCGAAACCTCTTCAAAAAAAAAAAAAGGAAGTCCAGTTCTCTTTTGAAAAAAAACAAAAAACACCTTTGGGACAACCATGACCTGATTGACTTGAAAATCTCCACAGACATTTAGCAATGGACTCAGTTGTCTATTACTATCAATGAGTAACTATGCTCGAGCCCTCCGGAGGCTGAAAATGGCAATTCCAGTATTTCCGGAAGGCCCATTTTTCGGCCTCCCGAGGCTGCAGAGGCTTCCCTTGAGCCTCCAAGAGGGCGAAAACGGCCTCAAATGGGCCGAAAATCAGAAGGGAGGTGCGTGCATGCGCAGTGTAGGTAAGTTTGGCTGGCTGCACAAATGGCTCTGCGCGCCATCACGGACTTATACCTATCAGCCTCCCATGCAATGACCATTTGAAGTTGCAATGCTGAACGGACTTATGACTGTGCCGTTACAGATACTGTAGAGTTCCTACTCTCATCGGATTATGACCCGAGTAGCTGGCAACGTGTCTGCACTCACGACCGGTTGGCAAACAGCCTGCGATCTCACAATCCCCCTTTGCAATCTTTCCTGCTGGCTTCCCTAGAAAGTCAATGGGGAAGCCTGCAGGGAGGGTCACTCTGGTTCCTGTGGGCTGGAGGAAAAAGATCTGTCCTGAAATCCGAGCCAGATCTCGGCACAGAATACTAGCAGTGGGTTGCTCTTTGCTGTTCTGACAAAGGCTTCCGAGACCGTAATTATGTACAGGCTTATTTTAAAATCAAGCCTTGTTTTCTTGCAACGGTGGGAATTATTTTCATTCCCAGCTGGTAATGAATCTCAAATAGTCCCTCGAGATAAGCACCCACCTTTCTTTCCTGTGAAGTGCTGCCAATAACAGGAGTGTCCAATGAACTAGAAAACAAAACCAACCGAAGTACAAAGAGCTTCAAGAATGGATCTAAAGGAGAAAATTTATTGGATGTGATGGCTGATATACTGGCAAAGATATCAGAGATGGATAAGGAAGAGATATTTACAGAGATGGTCGAACTCTATAGAGTTCAAACAAACTACGCAAGAAGGTTTAACGTCCCAAGAGAAGTCCACATCAGATCAGTCAAAAAAATCCATGCAAGATGAAATTTTACACAAGACAAGAGATGAATCACTTAAGTATGCGGGTAAACAACTGTCTTAAAGCAAATTCCAAAGAGGGTAAGAGATCTAAGGAGGCCATACCTGTTTTTAACATCAAAACTGATAAAATATAACGTAAATTTTAGATGCTTGGTGCCGGAGGGTATCATGGTAACATGGCAGGAAAAGAGATTTAGGCTGGATACCCTTGAAAAAGCGGAAGATTTCTTTGATCAACATTTACTAGGGAAGACGAAACAGAAGAAGCAACAGGAGAGAGGTGGACGAGAAGGAAAGAAAAGGGAAGTAGCAAATGTAGAAGGAGATACAGTAATTAATAAAGAGAAAAGGAATGGAAGAAGTGACATAGGAAAATAAAGAACCTAAGGAGATTAGAATCACAAGGAGCACTAGACAAAGGAATCAATAAAAATTGGGATAGGTGTGAACTGATATCATTGAATATTAATGGCATAAACTCCCCAGTAAAAAGGGAAAAATTGTTTAAAAATTTACAGGCATTAAAGGTCGACATAATAGCACTTTAGAAACTACATATCTTAGAAAAACAAAAATATTTATTAGAAAATAAAAAATTAGGGAAATTTTTTTCTGCTCTTAAGGTACAAAAGAAAAGAGGGGGTAGCATTTTATATAAAGGAATGGAAATTTATAAAGACAACGAGGGTAGGATTCTGATGGTCATAATTGGATTAGGAAATAGAAAGATCTTATTGGTAGTAATATATGCACCGAACGGCCTACAAGAATCTTTTTTCCAAAAATTGTATTATAGACTCAAAGAGTTGCAATATGAAGAAATCTATATTATGGGGGACTTTAATGCAGTTGTTGACAAATTATTAGACTATAAGGGAAACAATACAAAGTTAGAAAAAAAAAAGAAATTACGTTCAAATTTTTAATGTAAGATTTGTTTGTTTTTGTGTTTATTTGTTTAATGAAGTTTTTCTAAAAAAAAAAAAAAGAATGAATCTGAACCGAACAAACGACTTTGCTTCCTGCAAAGGTTTCGTCATCTTTGCCTGTCCTTTATACCTTATGGGAGGGGCAATCACCTCCCAGCCTTACTCCCGAGTCGCCCCTTTTGTCTTAGCTGCTCTTGCATCTAGCAGTTCTGCGCACACACGCACTGGGAACAGGCTCCCCTTGCTCCTCTACCTCGCTGCTGCCAGACTCCGGAGGCTCCAGAGTCAGCACCCCACTCCCAGATGGTCCTGGCCCCATCTCTGCATTGGACGCAGGACCCTCGTCCGAGTCCTCTCCAAACTCCCGGACTGGTCCCCGTTCTTCCCCACCGTCCGATTCCGCTGCCGTCTGCACCGGCTGCCGGCAAGCCACAACACTGCCTGCTTAATGTCCCAGGAGATAACTTGATTGCAACTGGACGTGCCGGGATTGTGGACATTGAGTGAAGCCTCTCACTGAGACGACCGCTTCCCTCAACGACCTAAGATTCCGGTCTCAATTGTGGTCCTTAAGTCAAAGATTTACCTGTATACCTGATGGCTTTCAAGGCTGCAAAAAAACAACAACCCCGAAACCTGTTGCTTTTTTATGGCATCTTCCCCTAGATTGAAAAGTGATCGACGTGTATCAACAGAAACATTGGGCCTAATGCAGAATCCGTGAGAGAAGAACTTTTTTTTTTTTTAAACTATTGTAAAACAGGGAAATGTCTTCGGTGATTTCTACATTAAACCAACCACAGATTATGCATCAACATTTTAAGAAAACCACCAGAAACATGAAGTTAGTTTTAGTTCATTCAGTGGAAAATTGTTTGACTTCTGCTTCAACTTTTTTATTTGTGTAATAATTACTTCTGCTTTTTTTAAAAAAACTATATAGCCACCCAGTCACTTTGTAGTGAGATGGGTGGCATATCAGTTTAAAAGAAATAAAGAACAGAATAGAATAACAGAGTTGGAAGGGACCTTGGAAGGCTTCCAGTCCTGTGGTCACCAACCGGTGGTCCACAGAGAAATACAATCCCCAAAACATTCCCCCCAAAGCAATTAATCCAGGCTGTGCAGGAACACAAGGCTGCGCCGCCCACATGTCCCACCTACCTGCTGGCTCCCACCCTTCGGCCAAGCACAAACCTTACCTTGAGTAAAGCCACCCAAGCTGGATCTGGAAGGTAAGACCAATGGCAGGGGAGGAAAATCCACCCCAGGATGGCTTGCTGATGTCGGTGGGAAAGTCGGTCGCATCTTCCAGAGCTGCAGGAGTCACAGGACTGGCCCTTTGGTCATCCCGGAGCAGCTCCTCCAGTCCATGGCAGGCCGGTGCACCCGGGTGGAGGAGCATCTTCTCCGAAATGACCAAAGGGTCAGTCCTGTGACTACTGCAGCTCTGGGACCGACTTTCCCATCAATTTCAGCAAGCCACCGTCAGTCAAAATTCATGTTAGTGGTCCGTGGGATTTTAAATTATGAGTTTGGTGGTCCCTGAGGTCCAAAAGGTTGGCGACCCCTGTTCTAATCCAACCCCCGCCTTGGCAGGAAACCCTACACCACTTCAGACAAATGGTTATCCAACATCTTCTTAAAAACGTCCAGTGTTGGAGGCAAGTTGTTCCACTGATTCATTGTTCTAACACAGTGATGGCTAACCTTTTCAGCTTGATGTGTCGAAAATCGGGAAAAAGTGTAGCCTTCCTCGGGTCGTGTGTCACTTCAAGAAATATCAATAATTTGGTTTATGACAGACTGGGCTGGGGTGATCACACAGGGCTGTGAATCTCGTCTCCCTGGTCTCAGGGCTGCAGGTGCAGGATGTGGGGATCGGAAGGCCACCTTACAGGGCTGTGAACCTCATGGATCTCCTTTCCTCCTGTAGCGTTCCTGAGGTAATGAAACTGACAAACCCCAGTTTATGGCGGTTAAAACTGGCTCTCTGCTGCAAAGATCTTGCGGCAGCGGTGACACCACGCCTCCACGCAACAAGCAGGGAGCAGGGATTGGAGCAGAGCACAGGCAGCCTCTAAATGTGCAGGTTTTCCCCACACCAACAGGCGTGTCAGTCAAAGTGCCTCAGCGTGTCACGAGTGACACGCGTGTCATAGGTTAGCCATCACTGTTCTAACTAAAGGTGTGGATTAATTACACTTTCTCTCTCTCTCTCTCTCTCTCTCTCTCTCTCTCTCTCTCTCTCTCTC